AGAAAATGAAACCAATATAAAAATAAAGCTCTTAAACAACAAGCACTGTATGTAGTCTGAAGCTGAATATAGAAAACTATCTATGTTAAACAACTGGGTTCATATATCAATCAGAATAGTTAACATACTGCACTTTGTACAGTATATTTAAAAATTAACTTTTGCGAGAAGCAAATTTTTTCACTTTTTGAGAACTCAATTTAAAGAAAGAATTTTTTTCGCAAAATTGTAAAAACGGTACTATAAAACAATTATACACTCATCTTAGAAACCTTTAAGCTTAAAAAGGAATAAAATCGATCACCTATGCGTGTCAGAATAATCGATAAGGAAAATGGTTGTACCGAACCACGGAATGCAGACAGTATCAACAAATCTGACAACTGCTGAAAATTTGATTTTGTTTAAAGATATTAGATATGAAGATTCAAATATAGTTTTAAGGAATCAGATGGATTAGTGATATAGCACAAAAAGCAACCTAATTAGTGATGCGAATATTGTACTTCAAAAATCCAAACAAAAAAATAATAGTGTAGTGGTCCTAGTCCCACTGGGCTACGAAATGTAATTCGTCAATTAGCAGAGTAAGTCGCTGTTCAATCTAATAATCAGTCTGTGTACTGTGTATTCGATTCACATAATTGTTCCAATACACTTTTGACCTGCAACAACAGATGTCAATGGCTTCTTACACAATAAATTGTGTTCCTACTCTTTATTATGTACATAGTTTACAGGCATTAAGTAAGTTAGTAATAATACTATATTATAATACAAAGTATGGGTGTTTAAGAATTGGCAAAGCTAAGAAGTAATAAAACTTTTGGCTTTAAAGCCAAACTTGAAAGAGGCAACTATCCGCTTTCTACTATTACAGCAAGATTCTTAAATCTTATATATAACATAAATGTATGTTTTGAACTTCAACCAGAGAATTAAAGGAATTTATTATAATTTTTCAACTTTCACCTTTGACATCATCAAAATTACATTTAATAATAAATACTCTTAAGTATTTTTAAATACTTTTTACACGAAATCAAAATCGCAAGCAGAAGATCTTCATTTGCTCATTATTATACTCAACACGTTTTCGGGGATTTCGGGTTTTTTTTTGTAGCTCAAGAAACACAATAAAAAAGTTCCTCAGCGATAAACCAAAAAAGCGAAAAACTATAGAAAAACAAGGAAAAACAAGGAAAAACTGAATGAAATTATGCAAAAACTAAAAAATTATTAGATGCTTTCGACTGAACATCGTATACTGGATACAAGCTTTATTGCCTTTGTTGTTATGTTTTGCAGCCATCGTTGTTACTTCTCTTCCATTGTTTTATTATTATTGTTGTTGTCGGTGTGGTTGTTGTTGTTGTTGTAACAAAAGTTTTTATGTCAAAATATGCAAATTAATACGAAAAACTTGGCAATTCACGCGCCTCTTTCGTATGCTGAACACAAGCATAACACAGTATGTAACCGAGTGAACTCTTGGACAGACTCACGTAGATACTCCCGACTAAAACTTGAGAATATTCCGGGAAGATGGCAACTTGGCACGATATAAGTACAAAACTACAAACACTACAGCCAGTGTCAAACTACCCTTAGCACCCCTCAAACTCTCGATGTTTAGCACCACACACTCTACAGGATTTATAAGTATTTTCTTATCTAAGCGAAAATCCTTGGCTTTAGTTGAGTTGAGTTTAGTTGAGTTAAGCTTTTGATAAGTTAGTTTCTTAACAAAATACAAGTAAAGAAACGAAACGAAACGAAATTGAGGCAAGTTGATGATGCTGACAAAATGTAAAGAATTTTAATTAAGGATACGAAAAATGAAACAACAAAATGAAGCACAACAACTGAGAACAATAGGAATAGTTCAACAATACAAAATACGAGCAACAACAACACTAGGAACAACACAGGACAAAACAACAGAAAACAATAACAACAAATCTAATAGAAAAATTGTAGGAAAGCAGCGGATGCAAATTGTAAAAACATGGAACACCGAGAAACATACAAAGAGGAACGTGAGGCGCGAGATATGAGACGTCGTAGTGTCAATGTCGGTCTGGCAGGAATAAAGCCGCATAAAAATACAAAATACAAAGTAAATGCGCTTTCCACTAATGTTGAGTAATGACAATAAAACGAAAACGGAAACGGAAGTGTTTATTAAGTGTAATAAAAAATTACTAAATACGAAAAATGAAAAAGAAAAAAAAATAACAAATTCGTCAACATTTTATATGAGAAAAAAATACAAAAAAAAGACAGGGATGGTAATATTTTATGACAAATTTTAAAACAAAAGTTTGAAGGACGATTTGTCTGGGTCAAGGTTCCTTTGTCCTTAAGTATTTTTTTCATTTCATCATCAACATTCCATTTTTGTGAAGCTGAAAAGTTTTAATAATTAAAAATCTTTACATTGGTATTCTCTTTGTTATAAACTTTGAATTTTAAATAAACTTATTTTCTCTCCAAAGGAAATAAATAAAATGCGTTATTGATGGAAATAATTTTTTTACATATTTATACAGGCGTAGTCTTTAGTTATTAAATAAGCATAAAAAATGTCTACATACAAAAACTCTAATATATTTGAGGGCTCACATGGAGCAATTTTGAAAAGACAGATATGTTACTTTATGATTTCATCTTACAGGATTTTAATCAATTTGTGGTTCCGTAATTAAACGTTGATTATTTCATGCAAGGATGCAATAACGTAGTGTGATTTTATAAAAATTACAAAGTGTTTTTAAACACTTTAAACAGTTCCGATATATTAGCTGATATAATGGCATAAAGTCTGACTCTCTAGAGTGAAATCGTGATGACCCAAACGTAAATGAATGCACTACAATTGTGATTTTAATCAAATTTTAATTCAGTACATATTTTTTAGACCTTATCATTAAAATTGATATAAAAAACGATTCAATTATTCTCCATAAGATATTTTTTTAGAATAGGCTTACTAGTGAATGAAGGCGAAAATATAAGTCGTTTACTGAAAGAAATGTGCGTCATTCGGGCACCGATTTAGTGGCTGGCGATTATTCTTTCGAATCTCTAAAGGATTTCATCTACTTTCGCACCATCGTAGTCATCATTACTAATAGGTGCTACTATGGGTTCAGTAGTAACGGGATTTAGAGCTCTCTCTCTCTCTCTCTCTCGACAAACAAGACTTGCACTCTATAGGTCGCCGCATCCAAATGAACCACGAACTCTAAGTGATATATCACACAGCATTGACATTGACTCTACGACATTGATTAACATTGTGCGGCTTTGCTGGCTTGGTCATGTCGTGAGAACGCATGAAGATACTCCAGCGAAAAAGGTATATGAAGCAGTAGTTGGAAAAAGAAGATGTAGAGGTAGAGCGTGTCTCCGGTGGAGTGATAAAGTTGAGGAAGCACTAACTGGACTAAATGCACGAGATTGGAGAAGGCGCGCATGCAGTTTTGACTTAGTCTTGAAAGAAAACAGTGAAATGAAAATTAAGAGAGGCATATAGTTATTAAATGATGTGGTTGTAACAAAACGGAGCCTCTATACTTTATCGGAGGGAACAATCTCACAAATCAGATTCTAAACGTGCTCCCATTCTAAAAGAATGCTTTTAAACCAGAATTTTATTATAATTCTTTAATTAAAAATACATCCACAAACACATCAATTTTTTATCTCAAGTACTTAATAGAATCTCAAGAGGATATAGCGTCCAAACATAATTCATGTGACATAAGTGGTATTGGAAGCTACATCATCCGTATTGCCACCAAAATCGACATCAACATCATTATTAGCATCGTCGTTATCATCATCGATAATAGCAATAAAATCAACTACAAAAAGTATTAAAACTTTAGCGGCTACGCGTCCTTTTTTGTGTGTACTCGTCCTTTCGTCCAACCGAGCAACCACATAAATCTGTTTTTGATTTCTGTTGCCGGATAATGAAATTAATCGCCTGTGATGTTTTATTGGCGATATTTTAACTTTATTTTTATATTATCGCAAAGTTTGTGCTTTTTAACGCGTTTTAAATATTTTTTCGCTCTATTTTTTAGAAAGATTTTATACAAACCAGAAATAAAATACGCAATTCATGGATTTCGTTGTAGTATCTGTTATGTATGTCGTGTTGCGCCTGTAATAACTGCGCTAAATTGGCGTGGCTACTTCTATTTTACACAAAACCAGAACTGAACTTAACAATTGAAATGGAGTCAGATACTTCACATTTTATTTTATTGATAATATTTTGATTATTTTTGCAAAATTTTCAATTTAAACGTTTTTCAACAATGAAAGTAATTTACTTATTTAATATTTTATATATGTTATGTGCCATTAATCGACATGTCCCTGTTTTTTGCTAAGCTATAATTAAATTTTTATTTCCATTCTTAAATGACTTTTATTAAATAAAAAACCAAATTAAATATTAAATTTTTATTAAAAAATAATTATTTAATTTTTAACTGCAAGCAAGTAGCAACTACTATAACTAACTGGATGTCTGGCTAACAGATTAAAAATGTATTTTCTGTGTATTTAAATTCATACTCGTTTATGCAATTTTTTGAAACATAAATTTCCAGGCCTATAAAGCACAGCTATCGAAACAGTAGACAGAATCTCTACAATTGAGTAGACGGAATGACAGAATGACAAACGGACATACAAATAGACGAACTCTAATATCAAATGAACCAAATCAGCCATAAATTTTAAACAAACAGCAACTAATGGCAGCACAGTGAACCCACAATAACTACAACAAAAATGGCAAACAAAAGCCTTATGACGAAAACCACTGAGTCGGTAACCTCATGTGGCGAAAATTTATTTTATTTATGTGACAATAATTCAACAAATTTATTTTGTTATTGACAACTTCCGACTTCTTCTTAAAATTTATGTTCTAGTCAAAAAGTTTAAAAAGTTCAACTAAATAAATAAAATATTCAATATTACTGAACACTCGCACAACTATAATTAATTTGTGGTTCTAACCACGCTTGATTAATCACACAAAAATTTAAATCGAGTTTCGCATTTGCATTAACTTCTAATCTGTCAGCTTATATTAAAAATGCGGTAAATTATTTTGGCTATGACCAGACACATTAACATGGTACTCCATTGGCGCTCACCAGTGCCATACACGGGGTATGCATAATTGCAAGGCATCATGTCCGACTTCGATTCACAAACACACACTTCCACTGCTGCGCCTGAAATGAACTTCTGATTATAGCAGCCCGCCGTTGTATTGACTTTGGCACACATGTATGTTATATTCTGAACTGCAGTATAAAATAAAATAGTTAATATCAGAAATATATTAGGATCATAAAAATATACATATATGAATAATTATTTCAAAGAGAAAATTTTTTATTTTTGGTGATGAAGGGCAGAATAAGACCAGGGCACTGAGTCGGCAGATTGTTGTACCCAAGCCCGGAAATAAAAGATCTAAATAAAGAGCTAAGAAAGAAAAGATAAGAACAGACTAACACTTTATAGATCCGTTAAAGTAGGATCAAATCGGACAAGATGATTTCTTATTCCGCTATTTTTTATCTCTTCAATTTGATAGAAATGGGTGTTGGATACTGATAAAAAAGACACAATATCTTAAAAATGTATCCAACTTCTTGCCTATGCTAAAGACACCTACATTAGACATTGGGCGTAGCATGTGTGATATGACTAATTGATGCCTTTGCTGCTATCGAGAAGGAATCCACGAAAATCAGTTTAAATGTGAATGAGTCTAATACAAAGTATATGTCGGCTACTGACAGAATGGGAGTCACTTGAGCAGTTATCTGTTTGCTGGTGACCAGATTTCTGAAGTACGGTCACGATATTAGTGTGCAGAGGAGGCTATGAACTACTATTGCAAGTAAGTGCAACTATCGGCAATTAAGATGTAGACTCTCTCGATGATGAAAAAATAAGCACATTATAACAAATTAAGAAGCGTACTGGAACGCTTTGGACATATATGCGTTAGATGACTACCACATGTGGTGAAACCAAAAGCTGTACGAGATTTATCACTACATTGATATTGTTTGCCGAATTAATATATGGTTTGGATATGTCATAAGTATGATAGGTAATAGTCCATTAAAAAATAGATTTAAAGTAGTCGAAGAAATAAATGATTTGGATCATGTATCTTGTGGCGTAATTACCATAAGCTAAGTGAACACTAATCGAAGTTAATGTACAAGCCTGAAGTTGAAGTACACATATCAGATGTAGCAGATCAACATTATTTATTTAGAAATCTAAGTAAGTAACTAAAAACAAATAATTGTATTAAAATTTAGTTCAATTTACCTGCTTTATTGTAAAAATATGAGTACTTAACACACATCTGGCCAGAGTGCATAGGACAAGCAAAGGCTTCTGGATTGTCTTTATTTGCATGCCATATATCTGCTGTGTCTGGTGCTTTATCATTGTCTAAATGTTATAGAATTTGAAGTTTAATTTTAATCAAAATATATTTTTAACATATAATTAAATTAGATTTCAATTAAATTAAAATGATCAAATGTTAGCAGTTTTCGATAATAAGTAAAGACTATTAATACAGAATTATTATTAATATATTAAAATTATAATAAAATATAATTATTAAAAAATGTATCATTATTTATATAAAATTATTAAAAACTAAATTCTTAAAAAATTATTCGTAAAACGTGTTTTGAATATTCAGAAAAAAATTTAGAAATCTGACAATTGATTTGTATAAACAAAACATATCTAACATATAATTAAGTATTTATTATTTTATTTATAAATTGCTTTTCATATTTGACTATGTAATAATTTTAGTGACGTCATTTAATGATTCACATACCTGTCACTACTAATGGTTTTCTGCAAGGTATTGTTTTGGAGTCCCCACGTAATTGATCGCAAGTCAAATCATCAATCATATTTTTTGCTTGGAACGGGCCAATCCAAGTAAAGCGAAAGCAATATGGGTCTGTTGAATGAGATTTAATGAACATTATTTTTTAATAAAGATTATTAAATATTATATATGTGAAAAATAACAATATATAGGATTTAAATACTAGTTTAAATTACTCACACTCCGCTTGCAGAACAATAAAGCCTTCACACAACAAGTAACTGAGAAGTAGTAATTTATACATAATATTAAATTCACTTTCACATTAATAAAAGAAATTATGAAAAATATAATTTTAATTAAACATATTTAGTTAATAATTTTTTTCCATAATATTGCCAACTTTAAAGATGTTTTCATACTAAAGAGTTTTCAAGATCAATTCTCAATAACAGTCTCTGCATTGGTACTTCACTTTTTCTTACAATCAATAACTATAAAATTCTAAATAAAATTTATATCTTATCTTCATGATTTGATTGTGGGACAAGTTCTACGGTGACAATACTGATATAAAATATATATACATTATTTATGTATAAACACTCGTATGTAGCTCTTATCGTTGATAAAAAAAGACAAACTGATGTTTACAGAGAAGTCGTATAATTGCTTGAATTACTTACCTTTTATGTTATTATCTGATTTATATTCTGTAAGCATAATTCAGAATTAAAAAGAATTATCTACTTCGGTTGTGACTTTATTTAAAGATGAAGATTGATTTAATATAATTAATGTAATTAATACCATGAAATAAAATAAATATATTGAAATTTATGTATACTCGTATGGCTGCCCTGCATAGACTGAATTTTTTCAGTTGATTTAAAGAAATGATATAAATTATATTTTTAAAGCAGTTTAAAATTATCCTTTATAAATTTTTGTGGTTTTATTTTTAAACACATATTATTTATCTATCAATTATTTTAATTTCCTTATCGACTTGCAATATTTTAAACTTAACACATGAACAATAAAGTTAATGGCATTTAACTCAATAAATGATCAATCATCACAGCAACCTCTTGTTACTTTCTGGAGATTGCAGGAATGCTTAAGTGGGAGAGGCAATGAAAGTGCTGAAGGAAATTTGACACTTTCCAATTTTTATTTTAAACTGATGATGGTTACGTTTTCTGGGTAACCATGATTTCCGCCGTGAAAAGCACTTTGCGTTGGAGAAGAAAATGTCTTGTGGTGTTAATAAAATTGTGTATAAATGCTTATAAATAGGTAAATTGCTGTTTCGTTACAATATTATTATATTATTAAAAAAAAAAAGTGAGCTCTAAAAGGTTCGCAAAATTTTAAACAAAATTTTAAAACCACTTGCATTGAAGATTTACTGAACGCTAAATGATGAATGAGTTACTTGACAGCCACTTGAGGTAACACTTTATTAAATGGTTTGCTATTGAACTAATATAAGTAAAAATTGACACAATTTCTTCATATAATGCAGGTTAAAGTTAATTATTCGAATTTATTTAGAAAATATGTTAACTTTATATAATATAAAAATAATATAAATGTTGTACGAGTAGGGATTTATTTTAGATTAACTATAAACGATTGATTTTCTTACAGGATTTAAAACAAATCTTTAGAATTGTCATGAATAAAGGAGCCAGTGCTCTGCTGAAGTCCAGGTTAGATTAAATATCTCTGTACTCTCGTGAAAATCTTATAGTTTTTTTTTATAAGTTCCTATATAAGTATCCTATGAGTACATGTTTACATTGAATTTACTTTTTATAAGTGATAATAATGTTTAATATAGAGTAAAGTGCTTACTGACCACTTTTGTAGATACTTTATTAACACGAGTAGGTCCTTTTCCATGAAGTAGTTATGCAGAACCATAGTCACCATTTACTCCTCCCACTTAAATACTTTAACATGCATACTTTTAGGCATTTCGACGATTCTTCTTTTATTGCAACCATGGCCCATATAATATACTACTTTATTTAGCGTTATAAATTTTTAAAGTTTTTAAATTTTTTAATAGTTTTATTCATTTACTAAGAATACAAACAACACGTTCTCTACATTTAACACCTCATCTGTGTGTAAGCGTAAATGTTGCCACTTAAACTCCATCAAATAATTTAATAACAATCTTTGAAGTGGCATGTCAAGTGTCAATGAATTTCAACTACAAGTGCAGTACGTGAGACTACTAAATACAATTTTGCCATTTTTTCTACACTACTCAATGTAGCAACACAGCAACACTATTCTGCTCCTGCTGCTATTGTTGTATGTCGTGCAAAACCTTTCTTTTTTCAACATTGTACTCTTGCCTTTCACGGCTTATGTAGGTAAATTGAGTAAGAAGAGGAGAACCATCAACCAAAAGACTGTGTTGTGACACCTTTCTAGTTTACCTGATGACACTGATATGCCACTTATATGAATCACTGTAAGGTAAGATAGGGTAAAATCACTGAGAGTGCGACAAGGTTGAGTGAGGTAAGAGAGATATATAAATGGGTAAAAAGTTATGCCGAGTAAGGCAAACTTAAGTATCAGCAGGTGTAAAAAAATTGAAGAAGAATGAGTTTGTTGCTTAATAAGTTTGTCACTACAATGAAACAAGCAATTGACATTTTATTCAGTTGAGTAGCTTGTTTCGCATTTAAAGGTAGATGTTTTGTTGCTATTTTATCTGTCACACTTACTGATGATGATATTGTCCCATTGATGGTTGCTTTTGTGGTTGCAAACAATGATGCTTAAGTATTATTAGCGAAAAACGGAAGAAATGCTTCTAATGAAGGCAAATTGTAGAAATTAAATGAACTTCAAATTGTTTGCTTCCTTAAGAAACTCTCAGTGAAAGCAATTAACTAAGAGAATTATTGAGGAAATAGAGTCAAGTTTTCTTGGAAACTAAAATAGAAATAAAAACTAGAAGAATAGTTCGTTTTTGCATTATCGAAATTATTAGTTAGTCAACAAATTTATTTCATATATAAACTTTATCTGTGAGGACTCTAAGGGAGAGCCTGTGCAAATGTTTATTCCAGTAATTCTGTAAGTTGCCAAGTAAATTGCCTACCAATAACGATAAATTCTTATTTCCTCAAAAAAACACAAATGATAAAATGAGACATCTTGTGCCAAGGTATTTACAAGGTATGTAAATACTAAAAATTAATTGATATAGCACATAGCCGCATCTTCTTGTGTAAACTATAACTATGTACTTATATATGTTAAGATACCTGAAGAATATTTTGGAAATGACAAATAGAAAAGGCTGTAGAATATCGAAGATTATGGTATTTAAAAGATCTCTTTTAGCAAGCCTGGAGAGACATATTGTTATATCTGGATTTTGTCACTTGCAGATAATTCCAAATTGATTTGCGATTTAATTTATTTTATTGGCTGTAATTAGCCAATATTATAGTTAATTCTGTCCATAAAACTAAACAGAAGTCTATCAACTGAACAGGTAATTCATTATTTTAAAAATATTTTGATATTATTTTTTAATCCTTCTTATCTTCAGGTACATTCAGGTAGCGGACCATAGCCTTTTACACAATATTTATATAATATACTTCCTCTATCCACTATTCAACACTTCCGGTTGTATTACTGTTAGTAATTAAGTCCGGTGTTCAATAAGATAATGTTATGAGTTCAGTATTATATACGTTAAATTGCAGAATACTACCTACCAATTTATTTACAAGTTATTTTCACCGCAAATAAATATAAAATCAAACATCAAATAAGTTCACATTTATTGGAAAAATTTTAAAACTGGGACTAGTAATTACAAATATTATTTCGAAATATCTGAGCATAGATAAATATTACTTAAGATTAACGAAAAGAAAAAAAGCCCTCATATAGCCTAGCTTGGGTTTGAAGCAAAGCTACTTGAATCTTAAATCTCAAGAATTTTACATAGAATCTTTACTTTATGTCCTAAAGTTAAAGTTATTACGGTCAAATTAATAACTTATCTGGTGTAATAATGCCACAAATTACCACAGACATTTCACAACTTAATTAAATTTGATATTCTAGTTCGAAATTCCATGAAAAACACTTTCGGTTTATTGAATGCCATTCACTACAGATGCAAATGAAAGCATTTTTATCTAGATACAAGTACAATATGTGCTTTTGTGTGACATTTACACCCCCACAAGCATTAGTCAGTTTATTATATTTCGGCATTAATTTGTGGAAAAGTAAGAAATGTTCTATGGCAGGAGCCAGCATACGAATTTACGATAACAAGATGAGCAAAAGCCTATTGCCTAAGTCTGGCGTTTGCTGTAAGCAGCTTAAAGCGGATTATTTAACATTGGTACTTGTATTTCATCTGCTCCTATTTATTGCCTTTATGCATGTGTACATTAGGTTTACTACTATTTTAGGCATAAAAAGGTACGCAATTATTCAGGTACTTCATAGCTGCTGAAGCATCGTGTTGTGCGACACTTTAAGCCTTCAGCCTTTGAATTACAATTTCAGGCTCACAAAAAAGCGTTACGGGAAATGAGCTTCAATTCATTGTACACTCGGAAGTGACAAGTGCAAAACGGAAATCGTATTACCTTCACAGATAACTTAGTCTTATTTCCGTCATATTTTATGCGCTCTAATTGTGCCAGCTTCGCATTGTATACACTTTTCCATGGAGAAAAGTGAAAATTAAGTAGTTTTTCACCTGAAACTTGTGTGCGAAATCAATACAAAACTTGTAATTCGGCGCAGGTGTTCAATAACTTTTTCAATTTGAATGCCTTCGATTATATGGTAGATGAACTAAAAGTAAAAGTATTCTTATTTCATGGGGTAAGGTAGAAGAAAATACTCTTAGATATTTCGTACACTTAATATTTAATATTCCCAATGAAATGAAAAGTACATATTTTTGTAAATACTGCGACTGAATAGATTAACTTAAAATAATATACTTAAGCTTATATCTATAAAACTATAAAACAATCAAAATTTAAATGTACTTGATAATATATTAAACTTTTTCTTGCAAAAATTTTTGTTTTAGTAGGTGCTTAATAATAAATATTCATATATTAACGACTAGCTGCTAATAATATATTTTATTATTTAAATATTATGGAGACCACACAAACTGAGATAAGAAAATCCATTGGAAATCACAAACATGATCTCAACTATTAATCAACAAATTAATTCAATATAAAATGAATATCTGATCTAGAGTAAATGACCAAAAACCTTTTAACTTTAAATAAATAA